AATTCTGGGAGTTGAAATCCACTCATCTTAAAGTGGCCAAGTTTGGACAACACTGACTTAAGTAAAGCTGCCATAAATATTAATGTTTGATATTTGAATATTGTTTATAGATCAGGCATATACAGATTAAAGTAAAGGGGCAGATTCATCAAGAATACTGCGTGGTGCTTTCTGGCAGTGGGCAATGAACTATACCTGTCAATAAAAACAGCTCACATTGTACTATTAGAATTCCTGACAATTGTTTAATAACGATATAATACATGCATTATATAAGACCAAGCAAAGCCTATTATGGGGTATAGAATAATTGACAAAAGAAATCATGACCAAATGAAGTTTCTCAACTAAATTTCCCAACTCAATAGAGAACATAATCCTTTCCTTGCTAGTACAACAACACCAGAGATTAAAGATCTGACGCAATATTATTATCACAGGCCCACTTATAAAAGAGATAATAGCCAGGTGTACCTGGTACCTCAGGGAATGCTAAGCTAATGAAATCTTTCAGGTGTGCAAAATACACTGCTGCAATATTCAGGATCCAACCAGCCTTTAAGACAATTACAAGCATAGGAATAAAGCTTAAGTGCTACAAACTCTATCTTTATTTTTTTTGTTTTTTTAAAATTTTATTGTAATTTGTTTGATTGTTGTGAGCCACCCAGAGTCATTGAGAGTTGGACAGCGTACATGTAGTAGTAGTAGTAGTAGTAGTAGTAGTAGTAGTAATAATAATAATAATAATAATAATAATAATAATGGCACCTTAGGTGCAATCCCAAAACAGCTGGAGCACCACTTGAAAACCATTAGCCTTGACAAAATCACCATCAGTCAATTGCAATAGGCAGCTTTACTTGGAAACGATACCTTTAACAGCATCAAACAACATCATCTGCCTATCCCAGGTCCTTGGGAAGGACTTGATAGGTGGATAAAAATCCAAATCCAGTCTAAATATCTGGCTGACTGTGTGACCAACCACAATAATATTAAGCTACAAACAAGAACTGCAATTGACCATCTACATTCTAGCAAGTCTACTGCTTTTCTGATGTGTGCTAATATGCATCTCATTCGGTTCATCCCTGTAGCAGGCAGGGCATCCATTTTGATGCAACTGAAGTTCCATTCTTGCCTTTCTCCATCCTGTCTTCTCCCTAGTCTTGATGCTGCTAGCACTGCTGAGACAATGATCATTTTTTCCAACTCCACACTCTCAATAAAAATGCAAAAAAAAAAAAAAAAATTGAAAGTTAACCTACACTTATCCATATTTTCTCTTTTCTGAAGTTATTTTAAATAATTTCTCAGTGCTTGCAGCAAAGAGCTAGAACTGTGGAACAACTGGTCCATGGACCACTGGTAGTCTGTCCAGTGGTCCAGTGGGGAGGAAGATCTATTAAGCATATTAAAAATGGTTTTCCTACATGGTGCTTTGCAAAAGCTTTTGATGTCAGTGTTGTGGTTTATGTAAAGGAAAAGGCTGGAAGCTGCTGGATTACAACTAAAGTTATTTTTGTATAAATCTGGATATCAGTTGGACTTTAAATACATTTAATTTCTACAAAGAATAATGATCTTTAATCTCTTATTACAGAACTCCATTTAGTTAAGTTCATGAATTCCTCCCTCCACCCCCAGCAAATAAAAATACAAAAGAATATTTTCCAACCTACGAGTTAAGTTTTATATCTAACCACTTTGAGGTAGTGTAAGGCCTTTCCGCTGACTTGCCTTAGCGTTTTCTCCTCAGCAACCTTGGAGAATAAATTTCTTAATTTGGGAGACTGGATCTGCCCTTGTGGCTCAGAGGATGTTCTACCGTCACATCTTCTATTGTATTGCTCATTCTATTAAGGTATTTGTCTCTTTCATATCACTCTGTTTTTGACTGACAAACCAGATGTATCTTATTGTCAGATAAATGTTACTCAGTCTGGACTCATTTCAGATGCAAGTAGTGTTTTCCCTCTTATGACACAGAAGTCCCCAAGTGGACAATCTAGGATGCATAGAAAAAGAGCTTTGGGACAATACAGTCAAGCTTGGTTCTGTTCAATTGGCCCAATAGGTCTGCTGTGGCACAACAGCAGAGCACAGCACTGTTCTGGGTGTACATTAAGGGCAGGCTGTGGGAACCACACAATTTAAATTGATATGGTTTTCTCCCACCTCTAATACAGGAGAAAAATTCAGCAAAATGGTTGTGTGGATGACCCCTTAATGTGGCCCATTTTTGTGCTGCAGCTGGTTGTGTCCACCAACTGATTCTTCAAATTAGGTTAGTGATTTAGGCTCTGAGTATTATCTGGATCTTGCCAATGGATTTTTGTGCCAATGTTTTTTTTTCTTGCTTTGTTTCTAATTTTGGATTGGTCAATGACTGTAATAAAGATTTGACTGATACAAAAAAAATGCTCAGATTATTTCAGTTGGCTTAATACTCTCCCTATTACCTCAAGGGCATATGAGGGATGGTATCTGTTGGCTGAAACTCTCAGTACTCCTCTCCCAGGCTCAGAGCACAGAGTGGCCTTGAAAAGAAAGCCAATACATTTATTTTGTTTGAAACAACTTTAAAGAGAGAAGGAGAGAGAGAGAGATAAAGAGAGAGAGATGACTGAGAAAGTATGTGTGTATGTATGTGTGTGTGATTTGCCACTGCCTTTTTCTTAGGGCTGAGAGAGAGTGACTGGCCCAAATTCACCCAGCTGACTTTGTGCCTAAGGTGGGACTAGAACTCACAGTCTAGTTTCTGGTGCCTTAATCTCTACATCAAACTGGGTCTCAAATACATGATAGAATATGCACATATCAACACAGTTAGTATGAACTCATCATTCTTAGCTTTCTGACCTTACCTTACTTGAAAAAGCAGCAATTACCATATGGAACTCAATCAGAACCCACTAATGTATCTAGGAAATCCTTTTGATTGTTCATGAGATTGTAGATGTCAGATAGAAACAAAGTGGTTTTGGGGGGAAGAGGAAGATACTATTGGAGATTAGGGAGGAAGATACTTCTGTGTCTAGAAGTAGAACCATATTAGAAGGCTTGAACAGAAAAAATTCCATTGGTAGATCTCTTTAGTAGAACATTATTTGCTAGTTAGCAATTCATCTTCTTGTGCTATTTTCATGAGATTTTCTATGGACCATTAATCACCTTAGATGACTTTTAAGGAAGGTTATGAATAAAAATAAAATACTCACCACCTGCATGGAGGACAGCTGTCATGATGGAGGGGAACCATGATGTCTCACTATTGGTAGCTTGGAAATCATGCTGCAGATCCTTGAAGAAGACTCCAACACAGGAAGGAAAACCCAGTGTTAGACCTTGAACCAGTACTGTGGCTATTAAGACCATCCAAGCCCATCCTCGATCCTGGTCTTTGGAGACCCTAGGGGCTGCCTCTCCTTCTTGGGCCATCTTTGCAAGGTGCTTTTTCATAGAACACCTAATTGGAAGACAGCAGGCAAATGAAGAGAGAAACCACAGTTGGATCAGTGCAAAGGTGACAGCAATGGAGCTACTGACCTATAGTTCATGCAGAATGTTCAGTTTCTCTAGAGAGCTTCCCAGTCTTACTCACAACCTCTTGGAACTACAAGCAGCCTATTTGGCAGGCTTTTATTTTTTTTATTGGTTTTTTTTGTCACAAGATGTAGGTATTGGGTTAGGCATACCTCCAGTGGCAAAAAAGCATTACTTAATACTCTGTCCTCACTACTTTTCCCTTTCACCTGCTTTTGGCCCATGGAGTCTCCTCGCTGTCTCAGCTGAATATCATAAATGTTTTGTATCAGGAAAAGGCAAAGCTTGTAAATCTCAATTATTTGTTTTTCACAACCAGACTTGTAATCAGTGTTCTTGCACAAGTTCTGCTGCTTGTGTCTGTAATTTCAGGTGTTTGGATAGCAGGTTTTAAATTTCAAATCCCTTCTACTATGCCATTATGCATTTTAAGGACATATTCACACATGCATCCATTATCCCGTACCATTGATATAATATCTGTAGGGGTTAGAAGGTTTTATTGATACCTTCTATTACTTATCTATTAAAAAAATATAAGAGAAACCCCTTCCCAATGTTTTTTGGTGCTACTTGTGAAGGTATCTTAAGAGAGACTTAAGGTTTCATGAAGGCCACGCATAACTTGGCAGGCTATGGGAGTTCATAAGTGCAAAGCACCACGAGTTTCCCTAGAAATGCCACACATTTTATGTGCAATAGAGACAAAGAAATAATAAGCTAGAATAAATGATATATTTATTCTGCAGGGAGAAATATGTAGGGCTATCACTTTACCCAGCCACAAACGGCCAAGAAAAGCAAGCCCACACGTATTTTGGTGCTCTTTGTCAGGGTTATACCGGTCCACTTGAAAAATGCCATGCACTTCCTCAGAACTTTTCCTAACGGAGAAAATAATTAGGAAGTAATCCACAGTTCTAAGAACAATCTCAGTACTTCTTCCTCCACATTTCTTTCTCAAACAAGATAAATTAGCCTATGTGATTCTCTTATAGGCATTTCTTTGTTTTGTTATTTATTTACTTAAGGAATTGATTTTTTTATCCAACTTTTCAGAGTAGGAATCAACCGTTTTTTAAAAAACGGTTGATTATATAAGAAAACAGTCCCTGCTCACAGGCTTGCTACTTCAAAAATCTGACACAAAGAGGGGGGTGGGGGAACCAGGGAGGGAAGACCAGCAAGCTTTAATATTCTTTCTTAGAAATAAATAATAATTCTGGCATAATTAAGCTGGACAGGGAATGGAGAAGCCTGATGGAGGCCGGCGTGGCATAGGTTTGACAATGTGACCCTTTTCCCATCTCAGGTTCCTTTGCTGCAGCCTGCGGCAAATGCCACGGCCACCACGCCAGATGGGGTGGGAATCCACAATCTGCACTCAGTGCCCTTCCTGTTAGGCGACTAAGGCTAATGGGGGAAATGCCGGCAGCAGTTGGTTTTCGAGCCCCCGAAATCCCACTGGAAGCAGCAGTAGTGCATGTGTATCTTTTAACTGACCTGGATCTGGAAGAGAATTACATTAGGAAAGACTGTGCTGATCCTAGACATTCTCAGACACTGCATATAAGAAGCTCAAATGACCTGCCCACACCCTAGTCCAGCCTGGAAGTAAAATTAAGATCACATAAATAAATTGAAGATAGAAACAGTCCTATTCCAAATTTGCTACTTGAAATGTGTATTCCTTATTGCTTCATAATAAGAGGAATGCTGAACAAAGGATAGGGAACGGTAGGATCCAACCAGTTCCAATGTGAGGGCCAAAAGCAACTCTTCTGAATCTGTACAGTGTGCAACAAATCACTTTCCACTCCAGATTAAATTGTTGTAAATTGTTGGAGAACATGTGCTCTGGGCTCCGCCATGAAAGGTATTTGTGCAACTGGTTTATTAGGCACCCTTTGCAATCACAACCTAGAATTCTATACAGAACGGAGGAATCATAATAGGCACAGGAGAATCTCTTTCATTATTACAGGAATGGATCATAATGGCAGTAGGGCAGTCCATTTCAGTAGCATAGTCATACTTAGCAGACTGATCCTAAATAATTCTGGTTATTTTATAAACATCCTAGATGCATGCAAGAACACAAATGCATAAGCAGTGACCTATGAGTTTTACAATACATTAGCAGGAAGATTAATATATGAGGTTTTTTTTATTTAGGTAGTTTATTTGGGAAATACTCAGGTGTTCTATTAATGAGGAATAAAGACTATTCCCTTTAACCAGACTTGGACTATAGTCTGGTGCTTGCTTACAAACAACCTCCAATATAAACCACTAGCAACAGCAGTGAGTTACTGGCACAAGCACTGTATCCAGACTCTGTAACCAAGCTCAAGATACTGCTCCTCTCTCTGCTCTCGCAATACCACTATGATCCTTATAATGTCACTGACAAGATCAGGAGTTCATGTATCTGTTCATCTTCCGTAAGATATATGCCAACAAGGCCATTCAGTACTCTACATAAGACAAAGGAGACCGTATCTAGACAATGGTTGAAACCCTCAGTCTGTAGATATATGCAGTAGCCAGACCTGTTTTTTGTAGACCTCAGAGCCTATCTACTCACAGATTGGATTGAACCAAAAAAAAATATATGTATATACACAAAGTGTACTAAGTCATTTCACATATTTATTTTAGAAGCTGAGCAGAGTTGGCCTTGATTAGTACTTCTAGGGCTGTTTTCTAGCCTAGGAAATTAAAAAAAAAATACCCCAGAAGAAAGTACAAAAGGCAAACCACATCCATTACAGAAAACTACATGGATGCAATCACCAGGAATGGATGTAATCTTCCCCAGCCCCCTCCCCACCATCCCGAAATCATTCTTATATATAGCTGTGGGATAATTATCACATTGCCTAGCCACCTATGGCTGCTCAATATATATATATATGAAGTGTGACACTAGGCCACAAAAAAGTTGCCTGTTCTGCTCAACCCAAAAAGATAACCAAACATAAATCTGACATCAGAAAGGGTGATATTAAGAAATCAGTTGGGGAACATTTCTTTCTCTACGCCAGGACATACTGTGACCCACCTTAAAGAGTCCATTCTTGACCAAACTTCAAAGGGAGATTTGAGCAAGAAACCACTAAATCAACTTTAAGATATGTGGACTTCAACTCCCAGAGTTCCCCAGGCAGCATGGTTGGCTGGGGAACTGTGGAAGTTGAAGTCCACATATGTTAAAGTTGCTAAGGTTGAGAAACACTGCACTAAATTAACCTGGAAAACTTTAGTTGTGACTCCAGCATCTTGAAATGGGATAAAGGTTTCTTATCACCATTTCATGCACTCGTAAGCTCACCCACTGCTGCCAGGAAGTTTTTACTATCAGCAGCTAGTGTTTTAAGAATGGCCATATAAACACACTTCCTGCATTTTATCACTTCTTACTCACCCCACCTGCAAGCACACGCCCACATATTTAAAGCTCAGGCTAGCATCTCAGGCAACTTATGTAATGAACTATGATTTGCAAAAAATGTGGCCTCAGAATGCACTTGTTATGACTAAAGCACTACAAGAGCCAGGGCTGGCCCTTCAATGAGGCCCAGTGAAACAGCTGCTCCAGCCTGTAGTCCAGCACAGATAGAACTGGGGCCCCTCTGCTCCCACCTGCAGCCCCCCTGAATTATTACCACAAAGGTGATTCATTGTGCCCAGAGGGGCACGTTATGCTGAAGACACCCCATGAGGCGTCTGTGGCATTTGCCTGCACAGGCAGCTGCTACGGCCACTATACCATCATTAGCGCTCTGAGGACCCCCCCTCAGAATGATCTTTATAGGCTGGCTGGAAGGCAAGCGTTGGCTCTGCGGCTGCTGCCAACACAGGTGGGCCTCTTGGGAAGCCCACCTTACTTTCTTCTGCAGCAGCTCTTTCAAAAGGTTACTGCCCTGTGCATATTTCTTCCTTCTTGCTTTACAGCTGGAGTTTTCTTACCCATGCTAACTTTATATAACTCACATGAAGTTTTCAAAATACTATGTAGGAAAATCCATCAGGCACTTCCAAAGTGTTCTGACAGCAGCTAATACAAAAAATTGCCATTGCATAGCTCTGAGTAGAATTGTAACTGGCTTTCCATACTATCTAGAAATATTGTGCATTTTCTGAATATACATTCCACTATATCCTATCCATTTTGTAGCCCTTATCCAACTTTTTAAAGGAGTATCATTTTGACATACTGTAGGCACTGATTTATTGGACAACCATTTCTATCCTATCACAGCTGATGCTCTTTGCAGTAAGGGCAAATTTTATCACCTCATTTAAACAACAGAACACCCTTTTTAAAATAGTGCTAATAGAATACTGTCTGGCTTCTTTTATTATGTTGTCATTAGTATATAAAACACCACTTAAATGATTTTTTTTTTACAAACACTCACCCTTATAATGCAAACATTTAAACGAATACTTTTTGGTCATGTTCATTAGCTATCTTATTACAGGAAAACAAAATAACGAGAAATATTTTTTCACCTTTGTAAAATTTGTGTGTTATATTATAGATGTATATAAGTATAATGCTATAACACTCATTTACCTGGTGTTTAATTGTTCCTTTAATATTTTAAGAAAGCACACACTGTTTTAATACCACAAAAAGTTGCTGATAACCAAGAGAGAAAAGTGATGGTACCTACAAAGGATAATATTGAATATGCACAGAACAATGACAGATTCCTCTGTCTGACATTAAAAAAGCTTCTTTTAAAAAGTCAAGATAATAACTCAAAGGGCATCTAACCTTCTGGAGGCTGTATTACTTTTCATTCTTAAAAAAAACCAAAAACCTAGAACTTCCCACAGTAAAAAAAGAAAAACAGAGGCAAAAATATGCTGAAAAAACAAATGAGGATTTTCAGTGGATTTCCTGAGTGCATAAAATTGTGCAATAATTGGTGGATGATTTCACAAGCCTTCATTTGGAAGCACTTAGTATTACAGATATCTGCCCTGTGAAAGCTTACATGATGATCCTGTAAGGCAGGGGTTTTCAAACTTTTTCAGGCTGTGGAAGCAGTTAAGGGAAAAAAATCCCGGAATCCCTGAGCCAGAGACAAAGTTTGAGCCAGAGAATACCGACTGCATGCAAGTGAATGTCCCCCCCCCCCCAATCTTTCATGGAATCCCATCAGTTCTCCTGGGACTCTAGGATTCTAGGAAGGCAGCTTGAAAAACCCTGCTATAAGGTATATTTGGCGAGCTAGTCAGTTCAGGGCTGAAGGGAGAGTCAGGTGCACAGATCTCTCAGCAACTCTCCCCATTTCGCAAGTCAACTGCCTCTCCGGGAAGCAAAAACGGTGCTAGCTTCCTGTTGGAACAGAGATCTGTGCTGCCTTCAGCTTTCCGGGGATAAAATGGCAATCACGACTCCTATTTGGTCTGGATCTTTGCACGTTGGTTTTCAGAGGGGCCATGATGGAAATAGGCCTGTTTTAGCACAGAGGTGAGCGCCCTTCTCTTCAGACCACGCGGTCAGGGGTTAAGGCTGGTCCAGTCACAGTCCAACTACCTCTGGGGAATTCCCGTCTCCGTCCTAAGCGACGGCCCTAGCGGATCGGCCAACCCGCCTCCGAGGAGAGACTAGCTAGGTTTCAGGCCGGGTCCCGGGAGACAGTATTGCGGGAGACAGCTCCTTTCTCGCGTGGAAACAGGAAGCTCAAGCACCGCCGCCTGCCCTGCGAGAAGAAAGAGAAGCCTGCTGTCCCAGGCGCGCGCTGGTCCTCCGGCTCCACTGCTGGGGGAGCGAAAAGGGAAGGGCGCGGCGCGGGGATGGTCTTAGCTTTAAGATTCCGCGGCCCCCCTCCGAAAATCTCGCCGAAGCGACCCGGGCTCAGGATCCCAGCCGATGGGCTGCCTCTTACCTGCTCCGCCAGGCCAAGGGGAGGCGTGCGGGGCTGACGGCTGCCTCCCTGGCAGGGGGTCCCCGGGGCGCCTTCCTTTCCCTTCTCCCGCTCCTCTTCCCAGCTGGGCCGCCGGGGCGAAGCTTTTAACTCTCGCCGCCTTGACTGCCGCCGGCGGCGGCGGCGGCGGAGGAGGAGGAGACTCGCGCTTGGAGAGCACGGATTATCTCTGGTAGCTCGATCAGCCCGGGATGACAGAGGTCAAACGAGGAGCCACGGTGCGGCTCCCGAGGTGTCTTGTTTGTCGAAGGGGAGGGGAGGGTTGACACCGTTTCCCGGAGATCGCGTGATCAAGGAGCAAAGGTGTCCTTGGATACCTTGACTTGGCTCATTTTTGATCATGATATGTCAGTGATCTGTTTTACTATTTTCAAGGTCTTAGTTCTCACTGGGGTCATAAATGTGTGGGTGCTGCACGTTATTGTTCAGGCTCCAGGTGGGTCTCAGGTGGGTATGTTGGTTGCATTTTTCTGCTGAGACATCTGTCACTGAGTTTAGGATGACATGATGCAGTGTAACCCACCCTCTAGTTTCTTCACCAATAAAGTTAGGTAGCCTGAGTGAGAATTACTGGCCCAAAGTCATTTAGTGAACCGAGTGGCTGATGAGACTTTTGAACCCATGTCTTCCTAGATATAGTCCAGCAGTAACGCCCTGCATCACACTGGACCTTCCAAATCAGAACAAAAGTATAGAAGACAAGCATATCAGAAAGGAGTCTTCTAACACTTTTTTTTAAACTGGAGTCAGAACAGATCTTGTGTATTCAGCATATCCACCTGCTCTTGAAACGGTACAACCAAACACAGATCTCTCAATTTCTAAAAACTGGAACATCCACATTTTTGTTTTAATGTTTTTCACAGTTGCAACACAGAGTCACATGTTCTGTCACATTGTGGTAGCCATAAACCGGAGATTGATTGATTGATGTGACTTTGATGCTGTCTAACTCCAAATTGACTCTGGGCTCTTAACCTTCCCACCTCAAATGTTAGATGCAAGAACCAGGCCACCATTATGACAAGCCAAAAAATAATCAACTATAGGTCAAATGAAGCCTTGAAATTAAGACACATTTCTTTCCATTAGTTGCCTAGTTTTATTGCAGTGTCTGCTGAGAGAGAATGGAAACCCCTGCACCCTTACAAAAGGAACTGCAAACATGTTTCATTGCTACAACCCTCCTGATATCACGTTGATAGCTTTGGGACTAGCTGATACTTTGTGTGTTGCTCCCAAATTTCCAGTTGTGGATTCTATTTCACAATCTGGGTGAAATTCCTCATATTTTATTATTGTGGCCAAATATTTGCTTGACTGGGAATGCACATGGTATTTTGCTGTACACATTCAAACTGGGAGGCCTGGGCCAGCAGTCTGACCAGCTCCTCAGCCATGATGTGTGCCATGATACATGCTGCCTGAGGAGTGATCAGGAATGGTATCATAGCTCACCCATGCAGTATACATGCAGATTGAAGTGCAACAATTGACAGATTATTTCCAGATATGAACATCTGAAACATTTCTTAGAAACTGGAAGAAGGAGAACAGGTTCTGGAAGAAGTCTGCTTTAGCCTTAGACCTGATTATCCTCCAGTAAGAAAATGCTTTTGTAATCAGTTTAATCAATGCAGAATAATTACTATCCCATTTCTAACATATGGTTAACAATGTGGTATACAGTCTCCCTCTTTAGCAGATGCCCACTCCTCGTTTAGCAACTAACTTGGTTAACGACCATCCGCAAATATGATGATAATGAACAGTTATTTAAAAAATCATTTTCCAACCAATGCACGCATTTCCAACCAAATTTCATGTGCCTGACAACAAGGCACACTGGAGTGAGAGTAATGCTGGCGTAGCTACAAGAGAACTTAATCTGAATGAGAAGGCAGCAACCAGCAATCTTCTCAGCGTCTCTCTCTCTCTGTCGTGTTCATTTAGTGACCATTTTGCTTAATGACCTGGTCATTGGAATGGAACGCAGTCACTAAATGAGGAGTGGTTGTAAAATGTAGCCTTATTCTAGCCACTGTGACTGTATGGCAGTGTGTGCAAATAGGGTTAGCTAATTTGCACTAAGTATCCTTGAATATTTGAACAATTTGAACATCATAAAATAGATATAAGAATAACATCAACAGTGAAGCACTTTGGCAGGTAAATGACAGGCAACAGCTGCCACCTAGAACAACACACACACATACACACTCATATGCATCAGTTATTTGGCAGGGAAGTTAATCACCTTTTTAAAAGCAACAAATATTAAACCTTGCAAACTATAAAACAGTAATATCACTTGATAAATGCTATTCAGTTTCAGAAGTGTAAAAACTATGATAAGCCCTTCCTTTCCAACTCCTCTCCCAAGCAAGAGGGAGGGAAATTGTACATTTGGCTTCCTTTGCTAAATCATTAGGTTTCCTGGCACAAGGTTAAGACTGGAAATTGGATTGGATCCAGACACTTTGGATGGGCTGAAGATTTATGTCCTTCTCAAGGGCATGTGAGGTAAGAAACTAGAAATCAGTTGGACTGATGTGTGAATATGCTGTAACTCCTACAATATATACAGATATCTAGATATCCCCAAAAAACAAACTCAGAAGATATCTGGTTGCTATAATATTCTGATCTCTTCAGTTATAGTTTAATACTCCTTTTATTTTTAGCTAGTTTAAATAATTGTTTAATCCACTGGCTGATCAGCCAGTGGATCATCTGGCTGGTGAGAAAAAGGGGACAATCCATGGCTCACTGAGCACCTATATATTGCTACTAAGGCCTGCATCTGCCTGTGAATTATGGATTATCCATTGTGCAGAAAATGATATTGACTTTCCGTCTTTCTCCCCCTGGAAAATCTGTAAAAGTATCTGTTCCTGAACTAACAATATAGCCTAATCTTTATTATTGGCCTTCAAGTACAATGCTTTGCAATTCATTCTTCAGCCAGCAATAATTACCTGAATAATCAAAGGTAGAGAAATCAAATAATTGCATACATACATGCATGCACGCACCAGCCTCACGTGTTTGGCAACCAAGACAGCTCCAAGTACAATGTAAACCTAGATCAACAAAAGCTATTAGGCAATTGCTTAGGGAGAAGGGTAGTGCTGATCCAAGCAATAATTTCTCAGGATTCAGACTACAACAATACAGTAGGAGGATGGAGACTGAAGACAAATGGAGCTGTCCAAATCTTTATTGAAGTTAGGTATGCTTCAAATTCCACAGAAGGAAGCCAAAGCTTTGGAATGCAGGATAGAAAATAATGGCCTTTTATATGAAGGCAGATTCTAGTTGAATGGTAAGTTCCCCTATGTAAGAGTATGGGCAGTTCAACTATAAAACTGATCACTGCGGAAGGTGACGGGCTCCTTTTCCCATGGTGGGGTGAAGCAAAAACTAAACAGTCACCTATTGGTGATGCTTAAACTGAATTCCTGTTCTGAGAGTGAGGGAGAGAGGACTCAGTGGTGTCAGAAAACGACAGACACGGGTTCGGTTATCCAGTAGACAGAAGTTTTTATTGGGCACGTTTGCCAAGG